AAAAGTTAATTATATATAATCGTTTATGGGTTTATAATTTTATATTTAATTTTTTATAATAAAATTAGTTAAATTTATATATTTTTATTTTATATTAAAAAATATTTATTTTTAATAAAAATATAAAAAATAATATAAAAATATTCTTTTAATTAAATATAAATTAAATCATGTATTTATATTAAATACTTTAGTTCTTTTTTATTTTCTCTGTTTTTTTTTTTATTATTATAAATAAAAATTCACTGTGTTTTATTTAAATATAAAAAAAGACATTGATAAAAATAAAATAAAAATACATTTTAATGAAAAAATTATTTATAATATTAATTTAAATATAATAAAAACTATATATTTTCTTAATAAAAGAATTCTCATAAATTTGTATATTTGTAATAGTAAGTAAAAAATATATTTAGTTTATAATGTAAATAATTGCCTTTAAAATAAAATCTATATTATATATTTAGTTTTTAATATATTTAAATATGTGTTAAATATATATTTGTGTGATTATAATTTTTAATTGAAATAAGAAAAATTTCCGATAAAAATAAAAAATATAATATTTTAGATATAAATAAATATATGTGAATTAAATTAGATATTAATATGATTTAAAATCTCAATCAATGTCTAATCAAAAAAATATAAACTAATTAATTTACTAATATTAATACTATGTATATATTTTTTTATTTTTATGTGTAATAAATAAAATTTATAATAGCAAAATAAAAAACAAGTTTAAAAAAGTCTTAATATACATAAAAAAGAAAGGATTATTACATATATATTTTTATATAAAATAATCCAAAATATAAAAAAAAAAAATATTTGAAAGATAAATAAAAAAATTATATTTATTAATTTATATATAGATAATATTTATAAATATTGAAAAAATAAAAAATAATATTTAAAATTAATTTAAATCAAAAAATATAATTTTTATAAAAATATTATATTTATTAAAAAATAAATAATAATTAAAAATATAAAATTAATATTTATAAAAATATTATTATTTTATAAAAATATATAATTTTATATTTATTATATATTTATATATTTATTTTAAATACATTTAAACATTTTATTTAATTTTTTAAATTATTTTGGCATCGTCTTATTTTTATAATCTAATATTACTTATTTTAATAAAATTATT